CTTGCAGCGAGCGCACTACTCCCATAATGTTATTCCATATATAAGGTTTAATAAAGCAATCCGAGCGAGAATAATGGAATTAATTGTGTATTTAATTTTTGGTTACTGTAGACGCAATAACGATGAATGTGATTTGCAAAAACGATTAACCTTGTAATTTTCATGATAATTATAGCGGGACATTTCAGAGATTTTAAATTGTCTATTGATTATATTTCTTAATTAGCAATGTTTTAGGTTGCATCTGGAGTAGCTACTTCAGGCATCGAAAGTGACATTGAATAAAATTGTTACGTTAATGCACGCATGAAGATCTAATTTCAGGATTTAATTTTAGCCGATTGCTACTTCAGGTATTTTTACGTACGTACGTACGTACATATGTAACTACTTCAGATGCAACATTAAAACCCTATAATCTCGATTTTTTGAAATTTCACTTTTAGAAACAGACAATATCAATTCTTATAAGCAGTTACTGAAAATGAAATTTCAATTACATTGCAGCACCATATTTAATATTCGAATTTGCAAAGAATCACGAGATATCATTATCTACTGAGGGCACGGAAATTTTTTGGTCAAATCGAAATTTTATGAAATTTTGACATCAAAAGTCACAAGAAATGATATTATTGGCCAGCTATCACCTCCACGTGATCATAAAAATAAACGAATGTTTCGTTTTGAAAAAATTTAAAGATTCGGTCTAATCAGCCTGATAAAAAAAGACGTTAACAAGAGCATGATAATTTTTTTGGGAAACCAAGAAAATTTAGATTTTCTTTAAATGCTTAATATTTTATTATAATCGTTCAGATTTTTTTATTTTAAAATATTGGTCAGAAGGCCCGAAATTTTTGCCTGCTTCAATAGGAATTTTCACTTTATAAATCGGAATAATATTTCCGCCCCTGGCAGCACTTTACCTAATCAAGATACGTACAAAGAAAAGTGTTGCATTGTTTCATCTGGAATAATAAACAAATAGGAATTAATAGCAATTTACTCGGAATAATAAACAAATAAAAACTTGAAACAAAGACAATAAAAGTGTCACTTTGAATAATAAACAAATAAACGACCATACCGAGGAATGTATAATGAATATAGAATATGCTTTTTCAGGGAAATCGTATAAGCTTGAGCATTTTGCTAAATCATATGCATTCAGCTTTGCGACACCAGAAAAGATTTAATCATTATGCAGAATTACAAAAAATTCTTTTTAATAACTATAATTGGATATACTGAATTTCGGTTTGATACTTACTTCAATTTAATTTGCCATTTAGCTTTATAGTGAAAATCGCACCAAATTTTATAAACTATCGAGTCAATTTTAAATCTAGTTTAAAGATAGAGTTTGCACCCGAATGCAAATTATTATCTAGATGAAAAGGATGGAACATAACTTTGCTTCAATGTAATAAATCTTATGATTCAAATAATTTAACCAGGCACATACGTATTAACCTTAATCTTAAAAAGTTAAGATTTATTTCGAAACGTCATACCACTATTTAAATAGACGAATTAGACATTTTATTAAATTGTATAAATTTAACATTGAATGACTGTGAATTTCTAGAAACTATTCTTCGAATTTCTTATTAGCACAAATTTCCTTTTAAAATTCGGTGCTTATTCTCCGCACAGCCATTAATCGTAATACGTATTAAAGTTTATATTCGGTCGTATAACGTTAACACTGCAGTGATTTTTAATATATAAAGAAACGAAAACAATTCGCATATTCAAATTTCTCACGCTACTAAATTTTATATTAGTTATATAACGATAACATTGCAATAAATCATTTTTATATATACGTATCTTCCACAATCGATTGAATAAAATCAATAAATTTTGTAAATTCACCCGACATATTTTATCAATTATTAAAAAAACATTTAACATTAAAAAAAATGGGAACCGAGGTTGATCCAAGAATTCCTACACAAATTGCCGATGGTCTAAGATTAGTACTTTTAGATGATGAGATAGTAAGAAAATATAAACAAGAAATCGCAAAATTAAAGAATGAAGCTGCTAGACTACGGGATTTATTAGATGTTGACCTAGATAAATTACCAGAGTTACTTAATGATAAAAAACTTATCGATATATTGGCTACTCAAACCAATATTGAATTATTTCTTTTAAAGGATGAAGTTAATAAATTGAATAGTGAAAAAGATGAATTGAAGTCTGAAAAAGATCAATTGAAAACTGAACTAAATGATTTACAAGAAGAACGGTTGCAAGCTAAGAATGCTACAGAAAGTTTGAATCAAGAAATTACTAAATTAAAAACTAATTTGACCAAGTTAGAAAAAAAGAAAAATGATCTAGAATCAAATATTGAGGAAAGAAAAAAAGTATTAGAGCAAGAATTCAATGAATTAAAAACCGAATTAGAAGAGAAAAGAAGGACTTTGGAGTTAAATATTAACGAACAATTAGAAACAAAAAAATCTTTATCACAAATAAATAGTGCGCGATTGACAAACATTAAGATGAATAAAGAAGCTATACAAAGAAACTACTTTATTTA